GGGGGGCGACGCCAGCTCCGATGGCCTGCCCCCGCGCCCCTCCCCATCGTCACAACCTGCGAGGAACAAGGTGGGGGAGACAGCCGCGCTGACCTCGCCCTCCGGCCCCCCGCTTCCAGCCACTCTGTTGCCCCCGCCTCCAGGGGGGTGGGGGCCTGGCCTCGCCCCCCCCCGGTGCCCCTGCCATCGTGGCGGCACTCCCCCCCACCCCACCGCTGGCAGCTCCTGTTGGAATGCTTGTTTGTCAGCCAATCAGAGCCTGCCTCGGGGAGGGCGGGACGGACGGACAGACAGACAGACTTGGGCTTTTATAATATTAGACCATTCAAACTTGGTAGTGCTGTCAGGCCTTTTTTGCAAGGGCTTCTCTCAGGTGCTTGGCACTTGGGTACCCGAGGCACTCGCTTGTGTCTGGCCATACTAAGTCGTGTGCTCTGTAGGAGTTTTACCTGGGGTTGATAGTGCCCTGCTGGGTACCTTCAAAACTACCTCATAAGAGCACTCAGTAGTTCCAAGCTGAGAGGTGCCCCTGGGAAGTTGTTAAGCATAATGCTGAGGTTGTAGTTAGTGTGGCCTTCAACACAGACCTTAAACTGAGGAAACAAAAGGGCTTTAGTCTTTGCTGCAGCCCCAATTCAAAACACATGTTTAAAACACGTCCTTTGCTTTGAATTAAAAATTACTTGGTACCTGAAGTGCTTCCCTGGGTCAGCACTTGTAACATGACCTCACAGGGATCAATCTACAGAGCACATGAATAATAGGGCCACATTGTACCAGATCTCACCATGTTAGTGCCTTGTCTTTGTACAGCAAGACTTTCTGCTGCTCTTCTCAAACTGAATTTGCACATTTCTGCCAATACACATCAGCAATGACTCTGTGGACATGAACCCATCCCCCTACTCTCTATGCCCAAGGGCTCCAGTGCCAGGCAACTCACCCGGACGTTCTTCTCCATCTCCAAGAGAACCCTCTTGTGTTGCTCTGCGATAGCCAGGGTGGCACTGTGTACACGCTGGTAAATCTGCTCTCCTTCCTGGGTCTGGAAGGTGTACAGCCCCTCCCCTGCATCACACATCCTGCTGAGCGAGAGGATTATAAGAGCTTTGTGCACTGCTCCAGTATCTACATTGTGCACTGCTCTAGTATTGCACATCATAAACTAACAGCCCAAGTACCACATGCCTCAAGTGTGGTCACAAGCCATTTCTACAGCTCACCCACTTGCATGTTACAAATATGCATGTGCGCTACTGCCCACATGCACCTCAGGTACACTCACAAATACGCTTGTCATTGAGGAGCCTCATTGACCCTCACTTGCACCCCAGAATACTTAGATAGGTCTTTAGTGATGGGACTGCAACAAAGGTGGAGCCAACATCCTCATTTTTTGTTTAATCAAAAAATCCAGATCAATATTTGCAAGTGATATCCTTTTCTTCACAGAAAACAAAGCAATTTTGTTCTATGGACTGAAGAGCTATTTTGAAGGCATCTGTCAAAACACACAGGAATGCTTTTCTGCAGATACACTTCAGCTACCAGGTATCTTTCCACATTTGAGCTGATGGGACATGAAGAAGGCACTGTCTTCTCTTTTTCAATAATAAAGCTACATCCGGGTGTATTTCTACTACTCAGATTTTAGTTCAATTTTGGTCGTTCAATAAGGACTGTGGTGTATTTTATTGAACTTGAACCAAAATCTGTTTTGTAGTATTATTTACACTGAGAAAGGCTAGTCAGGAGTGGTCAAAATCAGGTTAAGAGGACAATTTTTTTTTAGGAATTCTTCTTTTTCCCATTTTTTTGAGTAGCTCTTATAAAATTCTCTCAAGATGCTCAATTGTCCCAGTGTTTCTTGGGCTCCTCTCATCTGGCAACAGCAGTGTCAATAATTACTTATTAACTACCCAGTAACAAGCCATCTGCTTTCATTGGTCATGCTCCTTTTGGCAGGTTTCACGTTAGACGGGGAAGTCAGGCCCTGATATTAAATGTCTCATAACGTGGCACTGGAGTGGAACAGCGAGAAACATCAAAGTCAATTTTAGATCAGTCATTTCTCTCCATCATTCAACCATGCTTAGTCCTCTGTACAGCAGAACAAGCAGCCAGCAGATATAGTTCTTGGATAGCCAGGACTACACAGATATCATGCATTCTGCTGGATTGAATGTTCAGAGGTGTCAAACCACTGCTGCTCTGGATGGCTGCAGATGTGGGGGGAGGTGCTTCAGCACTGTTCAAAGTCAGGCCTATATTTTCCAACAGTGGATCACAATTCTTACATTAGTCTGAGATCACTTGGAGAGGTTTGGTTTTCAGAGAGTAGGAGGCCAGTCCTGTAGGAAAACCATGGCCTCCAAGGCATCTTAAGTTGGGCTTCCAAAAAACTCCTGTGGAAAATTTAGGCCTTTCCTCTTTCCTCAGGCTAAGGGCCCCCCAAAAAAGACATGCATAATAAAGGCTTCTTTTAAAACAACGTATGCTTGAACTTCTTAGCAAAAAGCCCATTTCCCAAGTAACAACCATCTCAGATAAAACTCTAAAGCAGTTATTCTCAACCACAATGCCATGGCACCCTGAGGTGCCTTGAGATCCTTTCAAGGGTTCCATGGGGTGCCATGCAGTGTTGGCACTCTTAGGTGTGCAAGCATAATTCACTGGACAAAACCAGAGTTTTGAAATAGGAATCCACAGTGTTAAAAACATCCTGCCCTGTTGTAGTCTTTCAGATTTTTTTGGCAAAGAAAAATTGCTCTATTTTTTCTGTAGTCAAAAAGAGAGTGAAAACTAAAAGCTGGAATTTTCCAAGGGGCTTCTTGAGGTTAAAAAGGCTGAGAACCACTTCCCTAAAGGAATCCTGGTCCTGTGATCAGCTTTTTAAACTAATGTAAATGTAACACTGAAGCCAACTTCACCAGTAGCCCCACAGAACCCCTATTATCCATAGCCCTGCAGGCACTCCTTCAGTAGCTTAAGTGGGTTCATTGCCTTTAAAGAAGCTGAAACAATCTGAGGAACAGCAACAGAATCTTTGTTTAAATAAATAGTCTGTTTCCTCTTAACTTTAAGGAGCTGTGACCCATGCCAGGGAGCTGAGGGATGCCTGCCCTGAAATAGATCACTCATGCTCACAGAGCAGACAGGACAGGATGCTTGCTCCCTGAAGAACTGCAGCCAGAAGAAATAAGCAGCTTTGGTTGCAGTGACACCAGTTCAAAGGCCCTGGGGGTAGGCTGTAATCTGCGTGGAGAAGAGATGTTTTTCCTCCTCTTTCTAGAAAAACCCAAGGTGATGAGTCAGTGGGATGAAAGAGAGAGATCGTGTTTCTTTTCTCTGTGGCTGGTAATTAATTTAAGTCTCTAATAGTCAGGCCTGGTCGATCCAAATTAGTTTACAAACTACACTGATATGAACCTTCAAGGGGGAGGAACATGGGTGGCTTAGGGAGGTCCTGCCACTGCCTGTGGATTTCTAGGGATCCCAGCTCAAATCCTGCCACAGGCTGTAATTGAACAGAGTCACCATCACTATGGGATTGCCCCTGAGTAAAAGGTTTGTCCCTGGCATAAAACCACTACACAGCATTATATCTCCTCCTTTCTGTGCAAGGGAGGACCAGGGCAGGTCTGGCTGCAGGTCAGATTGGAGGTGCACGAGCACAAAACATGAGAGGTAAACCTATGCAGTTCCTATCTCTTGCAGTCCCTCACTTCTAGTTTCCTCAAACACATGCACAGACATATTTCTAGCTGCCTAGGTGCCTGGCCTTCTTGCAACCCATCTACTTAGCCTCACAGGCACCTGAGGCACAAGAGGACAAGCAAAGCCTGTATGGCCCTGTCTGACTGTACAGCCTAAATGCCCTCACTCCCCCACAGGGTGAACAGGGCTGCTGGACTAAGATAGCTGCCTTGTGTGTAAGGAGGGAGAAGCATCTTACCGGCCAGCCTCAAAGGTAAACCTGGTGGCATCACGTCCATAGCGACGCAGGGAGCACAGGGGCCAGGAGACGAGCTTAACTCGGGGGTTGTGCATATCCCAGAGGTAGATGTTTTCATGGGTGATCTGCAGCTTGCACTCGCCGTAGACATCCAGGTTTGGACACGGCAGCAGGAACACGTTAAACCGGTCTGCAGGGAGACACAGGCAGCTGAAAGGCAGGATGAGGTCACCACAGCCACTACCTCTATGGTTTCCATCTCAGCATCAGCCCCATCTTCAAGGATGGGGGTGTGTGGATGAGTCCAGGTACTCTCTAGGCATAGACCTCTCCATCCTGCCCAAAGTGGTAACATCCCAGGGTCCTCCACTCCAGTGTGAATGCAGGCCCTTCCACACATGCATACCCTGCCCCTAGGTGGGGATGAGCCTAAGTCCCCCATCCCAGCACACACTCCTCCATGCTCACTTCCTCCAGGGTGTTCAAACACAGGATGCCCATCCCAGTACCAGCCACTCAGAGGGAGGAAGTAGAGCCCCCTCCCCAGAGTGCACCCTTTCCTGGCTGCCTTCTACCCCCTCCACTCCTACCCAGCAATTTGTTCACTGACACAAGCTCTCTTACCCGTCTGCTCACACTGCACCCCTGGTGCGAGGAGATCTGGTTCCCCCAGGCTGATGTCATTGAGGCGTGCTCCTAAGCACTCAATGGACAGAGTCTTGTACCACTCCTCAGCCTCCAGTTCTGCAGGGTACAAGTAGCACACCCATCAGCACCACCCCCACAACAGCTGGCAGTCAGACTACACAGCAATTAGGAATTCCTTCCCCAAGCTTACAGCAGCTAACAAGTGCTCTGAGGTCTCATTTTACCGAACTAAGATGACACCTTGCATAGGAGCACAAAGGTGCCCTGTTAGGTGGAGCCATGTAACTGCAGAGGAAAAAAATCATGAGTGAATCACAGGCCAGGGGGACCATTGTAAGCAGCTAGTCTGGGCTCTTGCATAACATGGGTTCTAAGACTTTACAGACATTGCAGCACAGCTCCTAGAGAAACACACAGTCTTGACATCAAGATGGCCAGTGGCAGAGAATTCACCAATACCCCTGACAAGTTGTTCTAGTGGTTGGCTAGCCTCACTGTTAAGAACCTGAACCAAATCTGTTTGCATTCAGTTGCCAGCTCCTGGTAGCAGCTCCACCTTTACCTGCTTTGTCTGAAGAGCCCTCTCTTATCAAATTTCTCTCCCCTAAGGAGTGTGCCCAGAGCCAGCCTTAGGGGTGGGAAACATGGCTGACTGTCCCGGGCAGTCGTGGTCTGGGGGGAGGGAGAGGGGGGCAGCCGTGGTAGGGGGTGGATGCACACATGTGTGAGCAGCCCATGCTAACAGCAGTATTCTCCCAGGCAAGGAAGAAGGAGCAGTGCCCAGGCCAACTCCCCACCCCACTCTAGCCACTGCTCAGGAGGAGTTGAGTCAGGCAGTGCAGATAGCAGCACCATGCCACACCATCTCCCTGCTGGACTGTGCCCTGCTTCCCTACCCACCTGCTCCTTGCCTGCAGCAGTGCCACTGGGTGGGTATGCCAAAATACAAGTTTGTCTAGGGAAACATTTTCCCTAAAGGCTGGCTCGGAGTGTGCTTCACCTAAAGGTCAGAGCACTGTGCAATGGATCAGATCCTAGAGGCCCTGCTTAGGAAAATCTTCAATTGCTCTAACAGGCTGTTGGTGCCCAGCTCCTCAAAGGTACTTAGGCACTTCAGTCCCTTTAAGGATGTGGGTCTTTGTGTCCCAGAGGTAATTCACAACCAGAAGTTGAGTGAGGCTTTCAGGGTTTTGACCAAGGATGGAAAGGGAAAATCTGATCATCCCTAATATGTAGCTATTTCTGGGGTGGAACAATGGAGCTGTTCTCCACCAGAAATATGACACTGCAGTTTTCAAAAAGGAGAGAGGAAAATGGCAAGGGGGGTTAGGTTAGTAGAAACCAGCAAGGTCTGTTTGTGATTTTGATCAAAGGTTTAAGCAGCCCTAATTCATGGGATAACTAACAACCACAAGCAATCAGGACCTTGGGTCTGTGTGTAATTCTCGTGACAACAGTGTGGTGTCTGTCTCATGACGCCATGTTGAGACAGTGGCTCAGCACACACACAGAGGAAAGAGCACCACATACTAAGTACCTGGAAATCTGTCCAGCTACTGACCCAGCTCAGCACTGTTGAGCTCATGAGAGCTAGGGAGCTCCCAGCCATCCAGAAGCAGCTCTAGAGCTGCGAAATGATAAGAGGCCTCAGAAATCAAGATGACACCAAGGGAGCTCTCTTCCCTTCCTGAGGGCAGGGAGCTCCCTGTAGGCCAGGGCTTGTCTAGGCTGCCAGAGAGCCCTGCAGGAGCCAGCATCAGATGAAAGGAGATCAATCCAATACTCTGCCTAGAGCACCTTACATACATGCTAGGATTAACCCTTGCAGTGATGCAGGGACTCATCATCATCAGTAATGGAGTCCCTTTGTCCTCCTCAGCAAGCTGAACCTAACACTGTAGAAAGGTCCCTGAATTCCATAACAGGCTGCAACATCCTGACACAGCTTCATTTACATTTCAAACGAAGGGGGCTAATTAACAAAATGGGAAAATTAATCATACAATCAGTTCAGTCACCCAGGGTTACTTATGCAGAGATTCAATTCAGTTTACCTTATGTTCTCCCCACATCTTTTCATTTGTTCACCAGATTTTGTATCAACCATATCATAGACACAACTCATGAGGAATGGAAAGTTTTGGCTGCAAAACAAGGGATAGCTGGGTTTTGGGGAATTGGAAAGCTGTGGGGGTGGGTTATGTTGGTGGGAGAAGCCCTTGAGATGGCTGTTGCTAAAAGGATTAGCAGCAATACAGTTCATTTTGCCATTTAAAGGGTTAACTTAATTTTCACAGGCAATGGGGAAGCAAGACTCTGACTTCTTCAAAGATGAGGGGCTCGCACACCTGTCAGTCACAGATAGGGCATGTTTTCCAAGGTATCTGTCTGCAACCACAGGGCTGTGAACACCAGCAGTTTAGAGGAAAGCTGCCACCCTAGAGCACAACCCTGTCTACTCACAGAATATATAGAGGCCTTGGCTTATCAGCCTCCCTATGGACAGCACAATGGGCGCTGAGGACCAGGTTCTCAAAGGGGGTTCCACACCCACTATGCAGGCATCACTGGCAAGTCTAGCCCTGAGAGATGAAGGATGTGCCTGCACTGGTCCTGTGTCAGGCTTGAGACTAGTGCTGCTGAAAAATAGCCACCCCCCACCCCCTGCCCACAGAGCAAGTCTAAAGAGCAGCATGGAGCCAATGCAAATGCACCCAAGTGACCTGCCTAATACTGGGCAGCAAATCAGTGGCTGAGCTGGGAACAGAACCCAAGATCTCCAACATCCAGAGCCCTCCCTAACCCTGCTGCCCCCCTCGCTGGTACCCTAACCCTGCACCCCGCCCACTGCAGGCCAGAGTCAAAGACCATGGGGGACATCCTCCTACCTGAGTCACAGGTGAAAGTCCTGGCTGAGTCATCAGTGAATATGATGGCAACAGCTTGCCTCTTGGTCTCCTTCGGCAACCGTGTGATGCACTTCACATTGCTGATCTCCGTGACCTGCAGCGGGAGCACACTGTACTGAGCTCTAGCTACCCTAAATGCCTCACCAGAGTGCACTCCACCCCCTTCCTCCTGCTCAACACCATGTACTGGGATGCCCTGACAGAGGAGTACTTCACTCCTCTACTTGTTCTGCTGGCTTCTGCTCTGGGTGCACTATCTACAAGAGAAGGTCAGCGGGAGCATTCATCTCCTCCAAGGAAGGCTGGATCAGTTCTGGCCACAGGGTGCTCACAGCCACACAGATTTTTTCATTAAAAGCGAGTACCACAGCCAGGGGAATCAACTGCAACAGGAACCCCCCTGGCCTGAAATCTGTTCACCAGGCTCCATCCCAAGGAACACAGCCCAGGAGAGGTGATCAATGGAAGACAAATGCCCGGTCCTGGTGGTAGCACTGGGGATGTGAAGGGAAATAGAGGAGACCAGCAGGAAGGAGAGACTGAAGAGTAAGTGTGGGGGGGAGGAATAAGAACAGCAGAGTGGGGTGGGAGGAAGGAGCAAGAGGCTGTGGCTGGAGCACCCACATAACCCCCTCACCTTAGTCCTGTGAGCTATTTCTTTCCTTCTATGCCCAATCACCTCACCATCAGGAGAAACTAACATCTCTGGGAAGGGGCAGCACTGCTGCCTGGCACATACTATGTAATCATCACCTATTGGCAACAATCTTAATCCTACCCAAACAGTCCTACACTGTAACAAATACCAGGCCAGCTCTGCGCAAGTACCTCTGGGACAAGGACTGAGGAAACACTGAGTGGGGAGCTCCCAGCTACACCCGCCCCACCCAAGCAGCAGTCCCCACAGGGAAAGGGGAAGGAATGCTGGCCATGGTGCTGCTATCCCAACCCAGGTCACCTCATCTGTCTCAGAGGGAAGGGACAGGCGAGGACTTCTGGCCTCTGACCTTTGGGCATCCACGCAGACACACCGACTTCTCATCTGGGTACTTCTCCAGTCGCTGGGGACCTTTGCTGGAGGATTTCCTGAACACCAGCCAGCACCTCCGATAGATCTGCCAGAGAGACCAGACAAACTCAAGCCGCTGCATGGGCTAAGCAACACTGCAGCTGCTCAGAGACCCCTTTCACTGATGCATGTCAGCGAGTGATCAACTGCCCCTTGACTGTGGACCCCTTCCATTACCCCACACTCCCTACTAGTGCCCAACAGGTAGCAAACTCTGAGCAAGTGGCATGTTCCTCCCTTAATCCTAAAGAGGGGATTACTACATTCAGCCTCAGGGGGACAGCACTGGGCTATGGGTAAACCCCAGCCTGAGGTATGATCAAACTCTGTATATAGCAGAATCCAGTGAAATCATCTTGCATGCTCCCACAAGAGAGGACAGATCAGCTCATTCTATGATGGGGGAGGCAGGGAGCTGGCATGCAGAGTCCAAGATAAAGCATTTTACGGCCACAAGAATCTAAGTGGGTGACTGAGCTCTAAAATGACAGAGGCAAGGGCTCAAGAAACAATGGATCCAATTAGATTAGACACACGTTGGCATGCCTTTCTAGTGCCTGGTGGTCACGGAGCTGGGATGCAGGCTGGAAGTAAGATGCCAGGGAACAGCTCTGGTGCGGTTCTTCTATTGAGAGACCTCTATCTCCAGCATCTAAAGAGCTTTAAACTGTGCTGCTTACATGGACCAAGCTATATATAGGAAACCCTCCTATACACTCAAGGTACCTCTGCATTCAGCCTCAGGGGGACAGCATGTGCACAGGGAGCAGCTGGGGGCACCAGAGAGATTTCTTTGCTGGCAGCACTGTAGAGGCACTGCGGGGGACTCAACTTCCCCCCACACCAATGACAAGGAGGCTTTTCCAGCTTTTGCCAAAATCTATAGGGTTCTTCCTGTTGAGGGCCAGAACATCCCTTGAACTCCTGGGACTAGCCAGATGCTGCGCTCAAAAGTCATTGTGTTTCAGATAGGCAGGGAACTGCTGCTAAGTCAAGCACAGGGCACCACTGGGCAACCCATAAATTCCCTGGATCAGATTACTCCCTACAGCAAGGCCCAGGTTAGAAACAGCCACCTCCTGCTCACAGAAGCATGTGGGCTCTCATTTGGGAACCACCATGAACCAGCTGGAAGGAAAAGAGGATCACCCACCTACTGCCATCCAGAGTCTGCACCTTAGAAGGGGGAAGCCTCTCAGCTGCCATTTTGTCACACCAAAAAAATGTCATCATTAGCTCAGGACAATGAGGTTTGGTGGTTACAGCAGGGGTTTGCAAAGGCAAAGGCAAGACTTTTGGCTTTACACTGGTTGCTAAGTTGCGATGAAGCAGTCAGCAAAGTCACTTGTAGCCTGTTTTTTAACAGTTTTTTTTAACTTGGCAGGAGCTATGGGTGCTTGATGCCTTCAAAAATGTGGGCTCTTTGTCCCCTTGTCTCTAAGCTGGGGGGAGACACATCCTTGTTTACAAAGTGCATTGAGCCCCCCAGACAGGAGGACCCAGTCTCATCATTAAACCACAAGTCCCACTATTTCCCATAGCAGCCAAAACCAGGTCAGGCCAGTTCTAAGAGGATGAATCCCACTCTGACTGTGTGGCGTTTTATACTCTCACTTTTATTTGTTTTGTTCTGCTGTTCATGTACCACAAGAGACCTAAATGTGATTTCCCTCTTCCTCCTCTGCTTTTTCCTCATTTCAGGGAATACTGAAACGTCTTTATTCTCTAAAATCATAAGAACTGCATACGAGAGAAAAGGGAAATCAGAGTAGTTTGGATGGTAAAGCCAAGGCTGGCTGTGGTGCCAGCTGTATTCCCATGGAGCTGTGCTGGGAAGAGCTGGAGGCAGCTGATGCAGGAACCAGAAGCCCAGAGACTTGGTACCTAATCATGCTCTAGCATCTAGCATCTACAAGTAACAGGCTATTTTTCTTGCCAAGGTCTTTTAGCTCAGCTTGCTGGGATCACGTTACCTGCTGGACACTCCACTGTTCCTGAAGCTCGGATCTAGGGCCTGATCTATCTTCCCATCGCTTCAACAAAATTCTGGATCAGGTAGCAAGAATGCCAGCCTGGCCACAACAAAAGGGTAATGCATGGCATCTCTTTGGAGAGGAGACTGGGCAGGAGCTAGGCAGGATATCAGAATGGTGCTGCCTGCTGGGTTCAGGAGCTACCAAGAGGGTTGACAGCACCTGTCAATCAGGGCCAGGGCTCAGATGGTTGTGGGGCAGGCTGTGGTTTGATACTTGGCAGGGAGCAGGTGTACCATGATGACTATGTGGGGTCAGCATGGAGAACTGCTGTACAAAACACAACTGCCCCTGTCACTCCAAGACATACTGCAGTGCAAAGACAGGTCAGGAGGACTCAGCATCTCCTGCTCCACAAGCACAGGGAGCCCCGACAGTCATGCCAAGAGAAAGCAATTCTGATTCAATCCAGGAGAGGGCAGTGGCAGACACGCTTACCAGTCTGTTTACCATATCAGCAGCTTCACCTCACGGGACCCAGGGCAGTCTGCCATGGTGGCTACCAGTGACATCTGCCAATGAACTTGCCATACAATACAGCATGCCTCAGCTCACATTCCTGTTCACCCCTGATGCCACATCCCTCACCCATCCAGCTCTCAAGAGGAAGCAGTACCAGTTTGATAACACACTGCAGGAGGTTGCCACAACAGTCCAGCACTCACAGAGTTAAATGCATAGTCCCAGGCTTGGGCCAGGCTAAGGTGGCCCATGCCAGCAGCACACATACAAGCCTGTGGTATCTGACACCGAAGCACCTGACCTGAGCAGCAGACAGGTTGGGGGAGACCTGCCACCAACTCCACAGAGCAATCCAGGTGTCACAGACATCATTGTTCCCAGCCTTGCCTGTCACCCTCAAAAGTGCAAACACCCCCAAGCTTCCTGCATCAGCAGCTTGTCTCAGCAGAAACTCATTCCCTGGGGCAGCTGCTTGGAAGCAGGTCTGCCTGGTCACGGGAGAGTTCAGAGCTCAGAGAGAGGTTCCTGTGTTCCTGTTCAGGGTAGGGGACAATGCTCTTGGGATGAACTCTGCCGGGGGAGGGAAACAAAAAGAGACAGACCTGAATGCAGATCATATGCCAACACTCTCTCTGAGGACACAAAAACGGAGGCCAAGCAAATAATGAGGGACAATCAATAGCACCAGACTAAAAAGGGCTGGGATTGAGTAGGCTCCTGAGCCAGCAGATGGTAAATGCAGCTCAGTGTGTGCAAAGTAATTGGTCTGGGAGAGAGAAGCCAGCAAAGGGACAGAAGAACAGAGGAACCAGCCAGCCCAGTGCCAAGGACAACAACCCAGGGGCATTGTGGAAAACAACATCTGAACCCACTTGTGCACCTGCTACCTTGAAAGCTAAGACACCTTATGGCTACAAGCCATGAGCAACAGACATGCAGAGCACTACCACTCTCACCCCAGCAGGGTTCATCTTGACCTATGCACCAGTGTGAACTTAGAGTCAGGCCCTCATGAAGCAAAAATCACTACATCTGCCACCCAGAATATGCCAGGCTCCACTTGCATCAACCAGTTTCTAAATCAGACTTGACTAGAGCTATACTGAGTAGCTGGCCTGGCAGCTGGTCAGTGGCTCAGGGGAACCATACAGGGTAGCTGAGGAAAGGGAGGGGAGAAGGAAAAAAGTCCAGTTTTCCATTAATCTGTCTCCTGTGCAGTTATTCACTGTGCAAAGCAAGGGAATGGGGAAGGGGTGGAAATCAGGCCCACTGAGCCCAAGATTGTCTAAAGGCCTCAAAGCTGTCAGTGCCCAGCTGCCTTGGACTAGCTGCTAAAGAAGAGAGGGGCAAGAGTAAAGTAAAGCAAACCAAAAAAGCTTACACACACTGTGTGGGCTGGGGACATCTTTCTGCTCTCTAGACCAATGCTTCTCAACCATTTTTGATTCAAGGTGCCCCACATTAGACTCAAGGCACCCCTCAGAAAATACCCAGTCTTTTTTGACTACAGAAAAATAACACAGTAATTTTTCTGCTGCAAAGAAATCAGGAAGACCACAGCAGGATAGGATGTTTTACACTGTGTATTACTATTTGAAATCTCTGGGTTTACCTTGTGAATCACGTCAACATACCTCACAACGCATAGCACCCTGCAATAAAAGTTGTCAAGGCACCCTGGTTGTGAATTGCTGCTCTGGACACTGCTAAATAGGCCCTGCCAAGGAATGCTCAGTCTCAGAGCTCCTGTGGATGCTTCTAAGATCCGTTTTCACCATGCTGTGGTGTAAGCATTTACTATCCCAGTAAACACTGAGTTCTGCCACTCCAGCTGCTGCTACAAGAGGCAGGGAAGGGAGTGTCTCATCTCTGACTGACATGGCTCTGTCAAGCGGGACCCTGCAGCATGTATCTGGCTCAAGCCATTGAGAAGGGCAGTACCTTGCCTCTGGCCACACAAGAGTGTGAGCAACACAGTCAGGGATGGAGCCCACAGGGTGCCTATTGGCTCTGCTGAGAAAGAGAGTTCCTTCAAGCCACTGGTGTCTCCCCCATGGTACCATGCCCTTGCTTACTTCCCATGGGAGCCAGTGCTGCCCGCAGCAGCCTACAACCAGCCACAGCAGGATCTCCTTTTCTGTCCCATTATGCCTGGATGTAGTCACTTTTTCTCTCATTGCCACAGTTGGACACTGCACATCTCGGGGGTATCCCAGATTCAGAGAGGGCCTCATTCACTTCCCGGCCTAAACTCTTACCAGGAGATTGGTGATCTCAGTCCATCTTTCAGCCTCTGATCTGACACACAGGGAAATGACTCCCCCCATGCTGCACCTGTTTCCCCTCCCTAGAACGGGGTCATGCCCCCTGCTCCGGGGTGACAAGAATTAACTCTTACACTGCCAGAGCGTTTGGTGATTTGCACACAGAAGGTGCTAGGGAGTAGCTGGCCTTGCCTCAGTGAAAAAAACAGGTAGTCCAGGGGCAGCCAACAGGCATGGGAAGAGCTGAGGGCAGAGAGGGGCTCAGCTTGTCCCAGGAAGTGGATGTC